TATATATATATATATATTTATTTATCTTTCGTTTCTTTTTCCTTTAGACCGTAACTCTTGCACACGTTACATTATGCATCTTTGTTATCTTCGTAACCACTCTTCTACAAAAGGTTTCCTTTCAATGATGAATATTCGTGAGATGTATCAAATAAATGCATAAAATAGTCTTTTATATATGTTTTGTTCTTTTCCCTTCGATCATAATCCTTCCATGTTTCATTGTGCATTTTTTTTTATTCTTCATTTTTCTTCAAAAATTTCACCTCCAATGCTGATTAATGAAGAAAACGACCTACCTTTAATTAAATTTGTCTTTATACGATGTTTTAGTTTATGTTTTTTTGTCATTTTTTTTATATAAATAATTTATTGACATCAATTTCTTATATTATTATTTAAATTTTAATCAGTATAAATTAACTCCAATCAACAACGATTAATTTTAATATAACCATGCCAAAAAAAATTAAATTAAAATTAAAATATTTAAATTATAATTAATTTAATCATGATTAATTGAATTTATAAAGTTAATATATATATAAAGTTAACATATAATTTAATCTCTAGTTTCAATGTCACACTATTTAGTTGTGTGTAAGTGAGTTATGTTAGGTTGGATTTGGTTTGAATGAATTCGTTATCTAATCCAATCAAAATTCAACCGGTTATGTTTGATTGAGTTTATGTATGTGTCTATCTTGGCCAAGCCGACTCACTCGCCCTAGCTTGCTCACATTATCTCGAACAAGTCAAGTTGGCCTCTTCCAACTCACTCACATCGGGCCCTTCGACCATCATAATGCAATAAAGCCTTAAACGATTAAATCCTTAACGACTAATAATATGAATATCTTTCATAAATGTCATATTTAGCACATTATGATCACCTAATAGAATATCTTTACTTATACGGAACAATATCTCCGCTAATCAATAACATTCCTATGTAATCACAAAGAAATATCTTTGAGTATCATACAACAATATCTTTAATCCTAGAGACAACATCAAACATATATATGGGACATCAGGTATCATTTTACCCTAATCTAATTTTTTTACCAAAACTCTCCTCTAACTTGATTATCAGATTGTCTTTACAGATGTCCCATTTTACTTCAAACCTTGGAGTAACGAGGATGTCATAGCACCTTGGGAGTAATTGTAAGATTCTAATAAAAATTGTGTATTTTCTTTTAAAATCCAACCTAATTTAACTCAATCATGAACAAGTTAGATTGAGTTGGATCAATTGGGTCGACTGATTTTTTTTATATTCTTATTCTTAAAATAAATATCGAACAAATACATAAGTGTTAAATAAAAATACATAAGTGGTAAATAAAAATAAGGGTGTTACTCCTTTTCTAAAATTCAAATCAAACAAAAATTGTTTTTAAAAATTTCTCTCTCTTCTCCCCTGACCAAACAAAAAGAAACATTTGACGAGAAAGGAAAAAAGACAAACCCGAAATGGATCCTTAAAACTAGTACTGTCGATTGTATAACTGCCGTAAAACTTCAAACTCTCAAGTGATTTACAAAATTGATGGAAGTGTCATAAATTAGGGGCAACTAAATGAGGAAAGTTAGGGCAATATCGTAATTAAAAATGAGAAATATATGTCTCAAGAAAGTGTTACTATAATTTGTCTTGATTTTTATCGATTAAAGTTGTTTACTCGATAGAAGATAAAAGTAATTTCTATTTAAAGAAAAGAAATACTAATGACACACTACAATAGCTGAAGATTGTTCCTTAATTAGGTAATCGTTATTCAGGCAAAGGCTTTTTCTTGCTCTGGTAGCAAATTCATGGATCTTTTGTGGACAAGGCTGGGCAAGAACTCCGTTAATTTAGTTATCCAAATAACAAGAGGCTATTAAAGCTATAAGCTATTTTTGACGTGCTGAATGCATGCATGCATGAAACCTAACATAGAAAAGAAAATCATTATTTAAACGGAAGCATGCACCTCCGAAAAGCAAATAAAAGTGTTTGGTTGATTAATAATAAGCTTCCCAAAAATCTTTTTCACATAAGAATGGCAATCTCAAAGAGATCAGTGTTGGCTGTGTTGGTTATTGCTCTTGTGGTGTGCTCAGCTTTCCCTGAACAAGCAGAAGGTGGGGGCAAACGCGGCTTTAATAAAGCAGGAGCAAGCAGAGGCAGCACCATCACTCCATGCAAGAAAAAGCCTGCATTGTGCAAAGTTCCATTGGGCAAAAAATTGTTAAGAGGTTGCGAAGGCCCAAATGTATGTCCCTGATTCGCATCAACTCGATCGATGCTAGCTGCATAAGCACCTCCTAATACTTATGCATAATGAATAAATAACTCATTTACCTCTATTACAATAAATATATGTAATACGGGGTTTGTTTTTCTTTTTCTATGTTTTAAATGGAGATTCCATAGTTATGGTCCCAATGTAATGTTGAATAATTATCTCTCTATATATGTATTAATTAGTTAATGTAACGAAATTTGAATATATTTCTTCCTTTCATTTTATTTAAAGTTTTGATAATTTTAGTTTTTTTAATTCTATTTCATTAAAAAAAATATTTACACATGTATTTAAATAAAAAATAATTCATATTATCACTAAAAAAATGCAATGAAAAATGAATGGTAAATTTAATAAAAATTAAATCAAAAGTAATGAATTAATGATAAATTTTTTTACATGTCTAGCATTTAAATTAACATGGCAAAGTTAAGAAATAATTATTTTGTAAACTTATACTCTCATTTTTCTAATCTTTAAAATTTTTCAAACAAACTTTCACAAGATTGACTAATTATAGGTTAAATTAGTATTTTTTTATACCTTTTATTTATTTAATTTAATTTAGTTTCTCAACTTTCAAAACTAATGCAATATTATCCTTTTCTTCCAATTAAATTAACACGGGTTAACTTTGTGGTTTTTAACTATTATTACTTATACATATTGGCGACTTATAATTGCCACAAATATTTTTATTATGATTTAAATATATTTTTAATTCATCAAATTTTAAATTAGTTTTTTTTAATCTCTATAATTTCAAAAAATAAATTATTTTAGTTTTTATATTTAAATTTTGTTAGAAAATATGTTAAATATTATCACATAAAACCTATTTACTACTATTCTGTTAGTAAAAACATCACATTAAACTCAATTGATATTATATATAACTATCTCAATTTGTTATTTTTCAGACATGTTATTAGTGACATGAAAGGATTAAAATAAGTTTTATAAAAATTATAAAAATTAAAAATAACAATTTTAAATTTGAAGGAGAAGGAGAAGGAGAAGGAGAAGGAGAAGGAGAAGAAGAAGGAGAAGGAGAAGGAGAAGAAGGAGGAGAAGAAGGGGGAGGAGAAGGAGGAGGAGGAGGAGGAGGAGCAGTAGCAGGAGGAAGAGGAGGAGGAGAAGAAGAAATATCACATTAAACCCAATTGATACTAATTATCTCAATTTGTTATTTTCGGATACGTTAGTAATGACCTGAATAATTAAAATAATATTTTTAAAAATTACATGATTAAAAATAACAATTTTTTGTTATTTTCGGATACGTTATTAGTGACTTGAATAATTAAAATAATATTTTTAAAAATTACATGATTAAAAATAACAATTTTAAGTTTCAAGGACAAAAATAAATTTATTTTAAATTTGAGGAACTAAAAATAAATTTAAGATAAATTTTATTTACAAAAACATAATAAAAAAACATACTTTAACAAAATGAAATATATTATATTAACATCATGGACCTTTAAAATCATTATTATAATAATTTAATTTAATTTTATTAATAAAGTAAAATTAAAATTTTTAACTAATCACGAAACTTTTTAAACTAACTGAAACTCAAAAATTGGAAGAGAAACATCTTGAAATGTATTCATTCCTTCGGGAACACAGACTCAACATTGATCCAATTTGCAAGTTATATTTCCATTTCTATTGTTTTTTATATTATAAAATTATTTTTCATTTGTATTATTTCTTTATATTATAAAATCATTTCCTTTGTTAGGAGAATCATTCTTGGCTTATCTTCTCTTGACGTGGCACTACCATTTCCCATTTCTTCTATATTTTTGAAGTTTCTTAAAAAATCTCATAGATGAAAGATCAAACGAAGTTTGGAGGGGAAATTATTCCTCCTTGAAACTATTCCATCATAGTTTTACAAAGGTATGCACATATAATTATATAAAATTATTTTATAAATTAATTTCCTCTTAATTTTTCTTAGTTAATATAGTTTTATATTTTACTAGTAATATATGTATGTATTTATAAGGAAAAATCTACTAATTTTATGAGTAAATCTTAATACTTACTCCACTCAATAATTTATGTTGCATATCAAATTTTAATTATTCAATCATTAAATTAAAAGTTAATAATGTATAAATCAAGTTTACAATTTTAAAAAAATTTGAAAATCATTTATATAAATTTTGATATTGAAATAAAAAGACTAATCCAAAATGATTTTTGTTTCGTATGTAATCTATCCAAAAATGACTTGGTTAGCTTGGTTCGGAATCAGATTGACCTGAAAAAAATAAAATAAAACTAGCCTAACCCGATATTATAATTGATTCGGACCTAATTTTTTTCATAAATCCCCTAAAATGGCTTTTTTTTTTTTTTTTTTATACATAAAATGCCTTTATGATGAAAACAAAAATATAACAGTACACATGGTAGTAAATAACTGTACAATTATAAATTCAGAGTTTAGATATGTAATTTGTACAAGTATGGTAATTGTAAATATTATACATAAACTATGGTTTGCCCCTAAAGGAAGGGGACAAATGACTGAGTTACAAAGTATAAAACGACAATAAGTTAAAAAAAAAAAAATGTCCACTATCAGTCAGTTGTTCTCATGATTCCATAATCTGCCATCAGTCTAGAAGAGCCAATACTTTTTTCTGGGCACTTTAGAAGGAACATCTGTAAATTCATTGAACAAATAAAATATGAGCATATTGTTTGATAGCACTTATGAAGCTATAAAGAGAAGACAGGGATAGAAAGAAGAAAAATTAATCAGTACATCACCTCCGCTAGTGTACAAAGAGTTATAGTGCACTTCACTCCAAAAGCTTAGCCATAGCTCTACAAATCAAAGAAGAAATAAATCACATAACAACTCAAAGAAATATAAAGCCTGGAGTTACCAGTTAGAAGTAAAAACTATGGATGAAAATAATTTCTTGTGCTAACTTGTCATCTTATAATCATTAAAATACAAATTCATCCAATAGCTAAGCTATTTGAAAGATCAAGAAATGAATTTAATTTAAAGGGAACATATTGTCACTCCTACTTGAATTTTTTTAATATTTAAAATACATTTTTTTTAATTTTAAATAAACTCTTTTTTTTTTAATAATCAAACTAATAATTTAGAAAATTTTACTCAAATAGGAATGACGAATGAGAATAAATATATTTGAGTGACAGTAGGCATTCCCTAATATAAGATCTCTAAAAGCCGTTTGAGATAAACAACGCTACTAAGTAATTAGATTCTATGATATTAATTCTAACTTCTAAGTCATGACACCATTATGAAGGGCACCCCTCACATTAATTTCTTCTGGGTTAAATAACTTTTTGGTCCAGTATCATCATTTGAATTTTGGTTCCTATAACAACCATAAGACTTAAGGGGCACTGGTCTGCACTATTATTACGGTAATCAAAGAGACTCTCGGTATTCATTGGTCACTGAGATTAAATTACACTTTTAGACAACAGAAGAGTAAATGAAAATTTCAAATAAGGGCAAACGAGACAAAATGTTAGACAAAGTAACATTAACAATACTTACCTCTTGTAGGGCTTTTGTCAGTTGGAAGGATCTCAACATAGCAAGTGTCTCTGAAAGAGGTGACTAAACAAACTTTGGCATCAAACTGAAGAAAAAACCATGAGTAATCAGAAATCAATTTTTAACAAAAATAGCAAACAAATCTAAGTATCGAAATGATAAATAAATAAATGCAGAAATAAAAAATAATAATAATAATAATAAAAGTCGTAATGAGCACCCTAAAATCGGGAAATTACAAGAAGCGAAGAAAATAACATATTGTTACAGCACTAGTCCTTGGGAAGAGGCCAACCCCAAAACAAGCCTTGTTGGGTGGGAGAGCCTCATGTCTTAGATACAACATTGAGCTGATTGAAACTGGATCAGAAACTAGAATGAAATGAGATTTTATTGATCAAACCATATCCCTAATTCCCAATCCTGTATCACTGTGATACTAGAATTGGCAAAGGAAAAATCAATAAGAATAATGAAACGAACTCCTAGGAATTCAAGAGTCTGGTCCCTACCACCCAAAACTAATTCTCACCTTCTAATTATCTTCCTCGATCATCTTCTGCCTCAATTTATAACAGTATAACTAACAATTTTAACAGGTTATTACGCCTACTCTAAACTGACAAGGCGTAATTAACATGGCCAATCGAAACATAAGCTTCCACATTTACTCGGTGTTTCACAGTCCATCCCGAACAAAAAATTATAAGAAAACAGAGAGTCTAATAGGCTAAAAATTACAACCAAGCTATTAAAATCTCTTGGTACTAAAAACTACCGAGTGATACTCACTAAAGTCAATCATATACAGAACAAAAATGAGCCCCTTTTTGTTTGCCAATTGATGTTACTATATAATTTTGTGGGATTGATGTATCGAAAAAAGAATTAAAAGGGGTTATACGTTTAGAAGCAAGCACATCCCAAAAGTACTATTTAGATTCAAGAATTTAGCCCACACAATACCTGAAGTTTTTTTTTTCTTTTTCTTTTAAACTGAATAGACTAGTTAAAGCAGAAATGGGCCTACATTCCTTCTCGGCAATAAGTGCACCCTAAAATTACTCAGATTCACATGGAAACTTGACAAGGCATGTATCAGCTCATGGATAGGAAACTCTTTCTACCCACTATTATCTATCTATGAGGAAGGAAGGTGGCACTTTAAATCCCTACTTGTGAAGAAGAATTATGAGCAATGATAGGGTTGTCATTATGAGTATGGGCCAGGAGAAGTGGAGCAGCCAAAGAACAAGTGCGACACCTATTTTAAAGGATTACAGAATTATTCAGGAATTCAGTTTTATAACATTTTCTTAAGTTTTTCTACTTAAGTTACCTCCTCATTGAGCTACAAAACTCACTCCTTAGTTGTCATTCATATTTCAAGTAATGACTAGGCTATTCCTTAAGGACCTACTTGCTGTGGGAAGACCATCTAAAGCTGCTGTTGTGAATTTTCAAAGTTTTCTTTGTAAATCTTATGTTCAATAATCTATAAGAGTTTGTAAAGTTTTAGACTGTTGGAAATGATTTGTAGAGTGAAACCAGATTTGTTTTGGCGTACTTTGTATTTTGATAAACAAAACTCATTTTTTAGAATTGAACTTGGTTGAAAGGGAATATTTTAGGCTTCAGAGCTAGGGAGACATTTCTAATTCTAGCCATTCATGAGCCTTAAGTTTGGGTTTTGATAGGTGAGAAAAACATCGTTTGGTGATAATTGGTATGGAAGATCAAAAGGGATATGATTTCAATAGCCTGTTTGGTAATTGTAGTACATTATAAAACTCAATACTAGTGTGGCTCTTTTCCAAGTGAGATCCAAAAACCAATTCAAACCAATAATAATAAAAAATAGTTTTTCAATTTTGAGTCCTCGATTAGATTTTGATAATTCTTTTTTTGGACCAATTTAGCAGTTTGTAATTGGATTTAACACCCCTACTTAGAAGCCTAAAGGAAAAGAGAAACTATTTGAAATAAGATGAAACTCACTCAATTAATTGACGGGAAACTCTTACAAAGGGTTAGCATTTATGAATTTGGCGAGTGTAATAATCACAATTAATTAAAAAAATTAATAGTTGATATTATAATTAATTTTAAATTTTATTATATATGTATTTAATTTTATCATAATTCTCAATCGTTGATTTTATAATCATTGATTATGAGTGCACTCTAATCCACCAGAAAATGGTAGCCCTAATGTGCAATAGATAAAATTAATCTCCAATAAATATATTATTTGTGTAGCAAGCTTAGTGTGTGGGTATGATTTATATGCTCTAACTTAAGGTGGGGCATGTTAAATATATATTGGCATGAACCAACTATCTCAAAAGATTAAGCTGTAAGGTGGAGACACAAATGGTTTTATATTATATATCTAGCAATAGTAATATAGCTTAATATAGTTCATAGGTTCACTATGCATATGATTTTAGGTCCAGATCTTCGTATATATTTCAATTAAGGAAACTAGGACATGCATATTCATTATTAGACCAATATACAATTTAGCTGTCTGTATGTCCGCAGTGTGCATTTTACACATTTTCAGCATATGCTTCTCTTTTCTATCTCTTTATTAACAACAGTGAGCCCAAGGACCATAGTTTTGTTATAAGCATCAATCAAGAACATACAACCATTTATATTAGATGACATTCAACACGTGGTCAATTCTAATTGATGCAGTACGTTATTTTATTTCTTCCAATTAATTGGATATACAGAAAATTGAAAGATAAAAAGAAGTGCACAGTCCTTACTTCTTTCAAATTTATCTGTTAATACAAAGAATTTTACATTTGGAGTATTTTTATTTTTATAATAAGAAAATAGGGAAAATCCTTTTACAACAAATGTCCTAATTTTTTCTATTGAAAACAATGCAAAGTAGGTTGATGGCATAAAAGTAGTACAAGACACAAGCTATTGAAGAAATGTTTTCTCACAGAGACCAACTTTTTGATTAAGTATCACATAATGATGCTTTATATTTTTCTAGGTATATCACTGTCTTCTTGATTGTACAACATAGTCCTTAGAATGAAAGATTGTCAACAAACATGTAGTTCAGAGGAAAAAAATAAGAAACTTTTAATGCTCAAGTATAGATCTATAGAATTTAGATAACTTACACGGTCTGCAGCCGCTTGTAGAGTAACATGATCTCCCCACTCCCCTGATCTATTGACAGACAACATACAAATATTAAATTAGTGTTTACCATCAATATTACATGCTCTCCAAAATCAAAGCAAAAATGACACCAACTGTTATCTGACTTTTTCATCTTCTTCAAGTAGCTTTTGTACTCCATTGGTACATAACCTTCATACAATTTTTTGTGATGCTTTAGCTGGGGAAAATAAGAGAAGCCAAACAAGAAAATATAAATGAGAATGTGAAATTAGTAGAGAAACAGACTTGAATGTCTCCCACTCAGAAAACAGAATACTACAGTATTAAACATCGCCCAACTGTCTATAGACAATTACGCATAAATAGCATGAGGGGTAAAAAAGGGTGAAGAGTGAAAACGATGCAGAGTGTCATTGAAAATTTTCAAAATAGCCAAAGAAATTAGTGTAACCTGCTTTATAACCTGCCTCCTTACATACTTGTGGTGCTCAGGATTCCGGAACAACTGATCTGCTAAAGCTCGAAACTGTCCAGCAAGACTTCATAGATATTACACAAAATATATCGAAGGGAAAGGAACATAAAACAAAAGTACCAATTGACGAGAAAACTGTAAGCTGGCATAAAAAACAAATTCCAACGAAGTAGAAAAACCTGGCAATTCCCGTCACCCTCCATCTGTAGTTCTGCCAAACCATATGTAACTAACCTGTAGACAATGATGCAGCATAATTATTAGGTAAAACAAAATACCTTACGCTTAAAAACATAATTTTGGTTCACACAAACTGCTCTGGCCCATGCTTCTAAACCATTATCATTGACTTAGGTACAACTCACTATAGCACGAACTTTCCAATCAAGTTACAACTTGAGAATTCAACTTAGGCTTCCTTTTCAAAAATAGTGAAAAGAAATTCAAAACCCCATGGAAATTGAAAATTAGAAGTATGATAGACTTCTCAAATAGCATGTTATCTATCCTCCTCATCATTATGACAATAATAAGGTTGAGGAGATTGAACACGTTTGCTTCTTATTAATTTCAATTAGCAAAGGCTGCATGGAAGGCGATATTGAAATTCATTCCGAAGGGAAAAGGCAAATATGTAAAAACTAAAAGTAATAACTGTACATTAAGCTAGTCTATACCTTTCAGACAGCCTCACGTGGTCTACTGTTGCGTCGTTTACATCAGGAATTTCTCCATTAACACGGGGAGTGTGCTGCCAAGTGCCAACATACTGAATTAGTATTCTCATCCAAAAACAGATAACAGTATACAAATAGGAGAAAAGGCATAAATAATGCAGGTGACAATTGATATATAAAGCTTTGACAATTTCGGAAGTTATGTTTCATCACGTTAATTGTTAACACAAGTTCCACTCTATTAGAGATCTCACATTAACTAGTAACCTTACTTATATTATAAGCTTTATTTTTAGTCGATGTGGAATCTCCAATACACTCAACTCCTAAATTGGTGCCACAAACTACATTTTGTACAGTATTCCTTCTGTTCAGTTTGCATTGTCAAAGCATCCATCATCTCCTATATTTGACAAGACTTTATTTATTAGCTTTCTAATGATTAACGGAGCGAGTTGGTTCGGATGGAAAGGAATATGGTCCCTTAAGCGTGTGGTTGGCCCCAGGTACAATCTTTCTTTTTTTTGGTACCAACCCCACGTTCAATCTAAATTCGCTTAAGCATACTTTAGCAAATTAAAAAAATACAAAACATAAATTGGGAGTGATTATAATTTTATAAATAATAGGTTTAAAAATGTATTTTTTTTATTTTAGGCTCTTAAAAAAATTTATTTACTTTTTCCTCCTATATTTAATAAAGTAATATGATTTTAATCTTTCATTATCCATTGTTTATTCCTGGATTTTAGCTGCCGATTACAAAGAAAAAATACGTTATTTTATTGTAGATAAATAAAAATTTATAAGATCTAAAAAGAAATAAAAAAGGTGAATCCATTGTAATAAAGCATGATTCTCCTATCTTACCGGTATAGAATCTAAATGTGAAAGTCTCTTTCCAAGCTTGTTCTCTGCCTTGAGATTTTCTTCCTCAGCTAATATGGTTGCAATAGTTTGGTCATCCTCTGTATCCAGAAATATGCTATTCAAACTTGAGCTCGAGCTCCCACTCCCATTCCTCATCTTCTCGCTCATCATATTTTCCTCAACAATAACCTTCAAACCAACTACATATCCAAAAATAAATAAATAAATAAGCAATAAATCAATCGCCTATTTATAACATCACATGTAGAACAATCCAGCAAAAAAATAATATGAATAAAGAAAATCTAGAAAACAAAAGGAGATCTTCAATGTAATTTTTTATGCAACAATTTTAAGGGGGAAAGGACCTAAAACATTGATTATTTAAAATAAGAGGAAAATGGAAGCTAACAGAAAAGAAATTATATCCGAACCAAATCCTTCCTTGAGTTCCTTTGGATGGGGTAGAGAGAAACGACAGAAAGACGAAACGAAACGGGGAAGAGTGATTAATGAGAGATGAATAGAAGTTGAATGAGAAGTGAAGAAAAGTAGGTGTAGTGTTGGAGGAAACAGTTGGTTTTCGTTTTGGGGGAAAGAAAGAAAAGGCCTACACGGTAGCTTTGCGTCGGCGTGAGCCGTCTATTTTTTATTTTTTCAAAATCTTCTAATTTGACCACTCTTATTTACTTCTTATTTAGTCAAATGTAAATTAATAAAAGTAATGACTAATTAATTTTTATTTAATCATAGATTATACTATATATATGAAACAAACATGAACTAATTAATGGAATACAAACCCCAAGCGTGTGGTTCAGCGGTAGGGGTTGATCCACGCTTAAGCAAGGTCAAGAGTTCGAATCCTACCTTGTGTATGCAGCAGCGTTAAATCTTGGGGCCAGCTATCCCATTCCCACCCTTTGAGGTGCCTCCAACTCCGGAACGAACCTAATTAATGGAGTACCAAACTTTTGTCCGTACAATACAACAAATTATACAAGAACCGACTAATTCGTCAGAACAGTGTTATTGGATTTGGATGCACTAAATACGTAATTAGAGTTTCAAATATTAATTGGTACTACTATATGTATGAAAATAACACATAGGAGTGTCAGCTGATATCCTACCAGAGAAGTTTATTTTAAGTTATCTTTATTTATTCTTGATAATATACAGAATGAGAAAAATTATTATTTTCATGTTTGTTAAAAAAATTATGTAATAATATTTTTTAATATTTTTTTATTTTCGAAAAAGTGATATTCTTATGAATAGGAGAGTTTTACTTTCATGATAGAAGAGTGAGTAAACGATACTTACATAAGAATATTAGAGGTTACTTTTTATAACTCTTATAACTTTTATTTTTATTTAAATTATTTTAAATTATAAAAAATATTCCAAAGGAACTATACATCTTTTTTTTTTATATTCCTTAGAATAACATTACATATGATATTATTCATAAGAATATGATTCTTAAGAATATAATATTGTTGTTTGAAAAACATTTATCAAGATATTATAAATACCAAGAAATTAACTAAAATATTGTTTGCAATTAGTGATTGATGATTTTTTTAAAAAAATTAACTTAAATATGATTTTTATATGTAATTAACATATTTTTCTATGATTTTTTTAAATTATCTATATAAAATTCAAAAAATTATTTTTCTTTTTCTATTAGTCCAACATTATTACAAAAATGTTAATTTTTCATTATATATTATGTTTAAAAAAATAATACAATGATGTCATTATATATTACATAAACAAAATGTTATACCATTTATATCATATTGATATATTATCATATTATCGTATATCACATGTTAGTATAACGTGTCACATCTAAAATAGTATCATGTCAACATTATAATAGAATAAAAAAAATGAAATATATATATATATATATATGAAAAAATAAAATTACATGAACTTAAAAAGAGAAAAAGAGAGTGATACATATTTGTAGACACAAATAAATATCTAAGCCTCCAATATACTAAACAAGATATGTTTAAAATTAATACAATTTAATATTTAATAACAAATTTTTTAATAATTATTTTTTTACTCACTTTTCTTTGATTTTTCCTTGTTCAACGATGACTTACACATGACATAAATACATCAAAATTTTCACTGACACATCATTTCTCTCCTTTTTCACATGCACATGGCTTACAAGAAGAAAAAAGAATTACACACCTTCACCCTTAATTATAGTCATCACTTTTGTCTAAGTTACAATCTCGTTGGACAAGGTGACTCACACATTGTATGAACAATTTAAATTTTTTCACTTGCCACGCTTCTTTTTTTTTTTTTTTTTTCACATACACATACCTCACAATGAAAATAATATACACACCCCAAGCCTTAATTATAATAACTATTAGTTCATCTTCGGTGTAGTCACTTTAAGACTACCTTAACCATAATTTCAATGGTGATGGTTTACTCTTATATTATAAAGAGATAGTATGGATTTACTCTTATATTAACAAACCACCCACTTATTTTTAAATATTATGATTTGTAAATAGATTGGTTCTCGTTGGGTTGTAATGATCATGAGTAAATTATATTCATTTTTTTATCTATAAATCACTAAGTTAGTCATAATTGATTTTAAAATCCACAAATTCTAAAAAAAGTCTTTAGAAGGTATATTATATTAGGATTTCAATAAATTTGAAAAGACTTCTTTTATTATAAAAAAAATCTTGTAGTATTCAATCAAAATTATTTTTAATATAAAAAAGTCATGTGTTATTCAATCAAGATAATCAATATTTTTTTAAAGTTTGTCAAAATTTAGTGGTATTCAATTAAAATAATCAAAATCTTTTTAAAATTTTATTAAAATATGATGGTATTTAATTAATGTTTAATTTAACTTAAAAAAAGTTTATTGGTATTTAAAAATATAAATATTTTAATGAATTATTTTGAATAATCGATTTTGTGAAACTTTTTAAGTATAATTTACATGTAATTAATTCATAAAACAATTTCATAAAAACTTTGAAAATTTTGCATGATTTTTTTCCTTTTTATTTCTTTTTTCACTATTTTAATTTTTTTCTCTCATCTTTCTTGCTTCTCTCATTTATATTATTTTCTCTCTCACCATTATTGTTTCTCTCTCTCTCTCTCTCTTTTCTACCTTATTATTTCCCTTTCTTTTTATCCATCCTCTTATTTATCATTTTTTCTTTTTTGTTTCATATTTTTTATATCTGTCTCACCTTTTTTGCCTTTTTTGCCTTTTTTGCCTTTCATTCTATCTCTTTCTTCTCTACTCTTTTATCTTTTTATTCAACTCTCTCATTTATCTCTTATTTTTCTTCTCCTATTTTTTTTATCTAGCAATTGATATATAATTTATCAGTATTTATTTATTTTAATCATTAAATATTTAAAATTATTTTTGTATTATTAAATATTATTTATTGTTAAAATTTTCAAATTATTAAAATTTAACTATTCATTTTTAATAAATTTAATATTGAAATATAAAAATTTGAAAACATATATTAGAAAGACTTTGTAAGTCATGGTAATAACCCTCAAAATGAAAATGAAGTTTTCAATTTATGTCATGCATTCTTAAAAAATGTGACTGAAAGGAATCTAGTATTTTCTAAATCACGTTTCACAATTTTTAAATCAGAGCCTCTATTTTTATTTAAGATACAAGCTAAACTCTTATTAACATGTAACACTACATAATTTTTTTTACAAAAAAAATATAATTCCAATAAATTTTCAATTAAATTAGTGGATAAATTTTCATATTTAATATTAGTAGTTAATGAAGACTATAATTTTGAATGCATTATTCAAACTTAAGTGCATGAAAGAAATTATATTAATACATGAATGACTAATATAACTTTAAATATGTAAAGAAATATTAGTTAGAAAAATTATTTGTTAAAAGATTGAAAATTTGTGTTGATTTTTTTTCTCTTTATTATCTATGTTATATATTTTTTTATTAAAATTTATAGTATTACAAATCTATGTTTTCATATGAAATGTATAAACTCTTTTAAAATTTCATAATATAAATTCATTAAATATAAATTACAAAGTCTTAACTAAAATCAAAATTTAATTTAATTTTTTTTTTAAGTCATGACATTCTTACAAAATCATTTAAAATCTATGATTTTTTCATATTAAAATTATTTTTAAAAATTTCAATCCAATACACACCCTCAAAGTTTAGGTTAGTATATAAGTTGTGTTTGTGATAACAAAATCTAAAATTAAGTAATAATATTTTTAATGAGAGAATACATTATTATTTTTTATTTATGTTTATTAATACATATTAATTTTATTAAATTTATATATTATATTTAAGACCAATATATTTGTTCTTGCCTACAAATGTGTTGCATATCTTTTCTTTTATTTAATATAACTTTTTCCTATTTTTTTCTTACTTAAATTCAATTTATTTTCTTTTTTAAGTCTCTCTACTATACTTATTTTTAGGAATAAAGATATATATATATTTTTTACTTTTTTAAGAAACCACCCTATTTGTTTCGATTCACAAAAATGAAACTTTTATCTGATTCTAAAATTTTTAAAAATTACCTTTTTAGTATCTTTTTGCTTATTTAAAAAAAAAAAAAAAACTAGACAACATCAATTTTAAAACACAAGACTTGAATGGATATTAGTAAATCATTCAACAAGCTGATGAAGCCATTTAATACAAATTATAAATATGAAATTATTGGTAGTTGTAAAGGTCTCCAAATATTGTGCATTTACAAATTGTAAATAATAAAAAAGGAAATCCACAATTATTAAAATAAAAAAAAATATTTTTAAGATCTACTTAGCATAAGAAAATCATTTTTTTTATTTTTTAAATAATCAAAAAATTAGCTTATTTATTTAACTTTTTAAACTGTATTGTAAATATTTATAAAATTTGCAAGCTTCTGTATTTCAAAAAAATTCAATCAAACTCATTGAGAATCCAGCTTATATCCAGCTTATGCGCGTTGAACATGTTGAACATGTGATAAGTTAGAGTGACTCGCACATTACCATTTAAACCTATTAATTTATATGATCATGATATATACACCTTCTTTTTTTAATTATTATTATTTATTTATAAGTACACCCTCTTTATATAAAAAATAATTTAAATTTTAAAATTATTCTTAATTTTTATTATTTTTAATTTTTTAATTTTATACTCTTAGCATTTAATTTAATATATTTTTTACATACTTCATTCTCTTATTTTCATATGCACCCCCTTAATTTTTTTTCATCTCCACTTATTTTGGTAGGTAATTTTAATTATTTTATTTTTATATTATTCTTTTTTACTTTCCCTTTCAATTTTCTCTTTTGATTTCACTATCCACGTACTATAGAATAATGAAAATGTCTTTTTTCATAATATTAAACTTAATTTTAAAGTTTTTGGAGGGGTGAAAGGAAATGAAGTGTTAGAAGAAAAAATGTGTGTCTAGTTTGATAGAAACTGTCGAGGAAGCTACACATATCTATAATGTTATTGCCTACCATTTCTATGATTTGGGTGCATGTGAAAAAGTGAAAGATGTGAGCAAATAAGAGAGTAATATACGAATAGAGAGACCTAAAATTATCTACTTAAATAAGTGAAAAATTAGAGAAATATAAGATAGTGCATGTGAAAATTGAAAAATAGAAGGAAAGAAGTGTGTAAAAATAAAAAATAATAAATTATAGATTAGAGATGTAAAATTAAAAATTTAAAGAATAAAAAAATTATAAATATTTTAAGATTTTTTTAAAAAAATTTTAGGAGATGTACTTATAAAAAAAAAAGGAAGTGTATATATCATTAGCCTAATTTATAAACCCACCCAACACCACTAGAAACAACCCACTAAAAAAAAATCAGTGGCCCAATTATTGGGTCCAATAGTCCATCACATTGGGGGTTAGGGGATGACTCGTGGGAGAAAAGAAAATTGAACGAGTGTTAGGGCTTGCTGGCTTTCGATTTCGTCTGTGTCTCCGCCCTCGGCGCTCTTCTATTCGTGACTCACCATTCCGGCACCGCCACCGTGCTCCGTCGTGCCACGCCACGCTTACCGCCACCGCGCATTGCCACGGTACGGCTGGTTTTGCATTTGGATACTGATTTTGCACTGCCACTCCCAGTGGCTTGGCTTGCTCATCTCTGATTATTTACTGATTTTGCATTTGGATACACGCACCTATAGTTCTGATTCTGTATAGCTGTTTCATATTTCAATTCTGATTGTGTGTATTGTGTATACTGTATAGTTCTGATTTCAAGCGCACATACTGATTGTGTATATTTAATTTTAGTATTTTACTGATTGTGTATTGATATTTACTGATTATAAATAGCTATTTAATATTTACTGATTGTGTATTGATTTTAATTTTAACACCCATACAAAAACAAATTAGTAGAAGAATTATTTTTAAACAGATTATGGCTGGACATTAGAATTTTTATTTATTTTTTAGTTTTTAGAATTAAGTGAGACCCACCAACCCATGGTGGATCAGGTCGGGCTTGACTATTTTTTATAAGCTCAGTAGAAGGTTAGCCGGTTGGGTTGACCCACCTATTAGCCAACCCGTGGTGGGCTGGATAGGGCGACTTGTTTTGACAGCTCTAGATTTCAGTGACCCAATTGGCGAATTCTTAAGGCCAAAAGAATGGGGAATAAAAAAAATCCCAAGGCTCTGCAGTTTCCTTTATTTCTCTTTCTCCCCAACCTTGTGTTCACGTCTGTGATGTAATGTTATACTTTAAAGGCAGGGAAGGAAACGTGAATGTTTCAAATAAGACTATATTTCAAGGAAATTATAACATTTCAGAAACTTTAGGGATCTACAAATTTTCTTTACTTTATCCTAACTATTTAATCCTAGATTCACACTGGTGCTTTGTGGAATTTGTGTCATGTGTGCATTATTTGTTTTGTAATTGTACCTGAAACAAGAAAAAGTGTGTCACCATTATTGTTATATATATGATGGAAGAATATTAATAATTTCCTAGTTTACCATGTGATCTCTGAGATTTGGTTGGAAGCTTCTGGAATTCCTAATGGAAGATACTGCATAGGGGGTGTTATGGGGATTTATAGGCTAGCAACAAAAAAGTTTAAATAAAAAATAAGTATTAAGCTTAAAATAAAAATAAACAGCTATATTTTGTAGCCACTAAAGCATTCTATACACCCTCCAATTCTGTAATACCTAATGATAACATAATTTTGTGTGTAACAGTATGAGGAAAAGCTTTTCAGTCTTGAGGTTTTTTTTCTGCTAATTGTATCTCACAAGATTACTGCAACTATACCATTTCCAATTCCATCTAATTGAGAAGAACATACATTTCCAATTTCTGTTATATGAGTGATGAGTTATATTTGTTATATAGTAGCGGCCATTGTCTTTTTGGCCTTGTCGCTGTAGTGATTTTATGTCTTTGTTTGTTTTATATGTTATGTTTTATTATTCATCATGAATCTTATGATTCATGATATGATTCAATTCTCGGTGTGAAAAATATATCTTATTCACAATTTGAATCCCAATTCGATTACCATGGTTTATCTGTTTTAGGAATTTTCAAGTTATGGTATTTTAGTATTTAACATGCTTGTTGTGGCATTCATGAATTCTACACATTCCTTCATGATTATTTTGTAAACATGTGTTTAGTAGTTGAATCAGGATTCAAATCGTGAATTGGAAGACTCATTTTTTGAATGGCGAATTGAGTCATATCGTGAATCATAAGATTCATAATCGATAATAAAATAAGCATATATACAATTAATAAAAACATATTAAAACACATTCATAATCAATAACTAAAAAAACATAACTATAGTAATATAAGATACACAAGTTCTATTAAAAATTGTCATGATAGAATTATATTAAAATTTATAATTAATATTCTGTCATTATAATTATTATATATTAAAATTTATAATAAATATTCTTCTATTATATTTATTATATATTAATATTAATAAAAAATATGCATTTAAAAAACTATAATAGATTTTATTTATTATGTTATATAATATATTTTATGATAAAGATATTAAAATAAATAATTATCACTTCGATCAAATATTTATATTTTTAATTTGATAATATAATAAAATTAAAATTACAATAATTATTCTGTCGTTTAAAATTATTATAAATACAAATTTATAATAAAAATACGAATATTATAATTATTATATATTTGTATTTAAAAAATGAAAACAAATTTGATTTATTATATGTTATAATATATTTTATGATAAAGATATTAAAATAAACAAATGGTTCTTAAAAGTTAAAAAAAAGGAGAAAACCCAATACGGTGTTGCTGGGATTAGGGTTGTGCTAACCCGCAACTTGCCTCCTCCGACAGTCACTTTTCTGTGAGAAGTGTTGCTCGGTTGCAACAGCCAAGCTCAACGGCCCTTGGAGCCAATAGGTCTCGCATAAGCTATATTTTTCGTACCACATTCGTGCAATTCAAGAACAAAAATGATACAGAGCACTATTTGCATTGTTTTCCATCTGTATGGTATCGAATTGCATGAATCACTCCAAACATTTAATTGTTTTCCATTTCTTTATTTTTTGCATATTAATTAAATAAATAAAACAATGTATAGCTTCAATTCATGACTAGATTGAACAAAAGCTCCTTTTTTTTTATTGGTACATTGAAGTGCTAGAACTTGATATGGGGAGAGGGATAGGTTGCTTAGTGGAGGATGAATGATGTTTAGAAGGATTTAGTTTACATATATAGAGTTGTGCGTAAGTTTTCATGACGTGCCTCGTTAAAACTTAAAAATCATTTGTAATTTATTTGACCAGTGATGGGCATATATCATGTTTTCTTAAATTTGTTGTATGGGCATGTTAACTTGCCTTAGGTTTTGCTGTGAACTGGAGTTTTATCTATCTAGAGGGAGAAAGGATGTACCTTGTGAGCGATCTGTTTTTATGTAAGAGTTAGAGGTCCAATATTGACCATATAACTAATTAACCATATATGGAGATTGAAGGGTGAAGATTGAAGTGACTTAAAGTTCATATGACCACTTCAAAATATCACATGATTTTTATTTAATTTTGACTATATATGTATGATTTGATTGTCAATATGTGTTCCTTTTCATTTATAAATAAAATTAGTCTTCTCATTTGACATGTCCCTTCTCTGTCTTTTTCTCTGTCTCTGTGTATAGTGTTCAACTGGAGACTCATTGGTAGTCTGGTAGAACCAGTGTTAGTACCTTGACTAAGTCAATGATTGAATTGAATTACATTGGTGTATTCCTGAATTATACTTGTATTGGTTCCTGAGTTCTCACACTAAAACTATAACTTCTCTTTTTATTCAACCCTTATTCTCTATCTCCCTCTGTCTTGCTACTTTCTATCCATTTTCAATCTCATTATTTACTGTTGGTGAATCCAGAGGTGAAATCTTTGTTTTCTGAGTTGAGGAAGATCAACCAAAGAAACAGAAGCAAAAATGAAGATGGTGACTGCTTTCAACGGCAACATGAAGGTGATTAAATTTTTGAGAGACTGTGTAGTTAGGTACTTAAGTTATACAAATATGCAGTGTTTGCGAAAAGGGAACCCTCTCCCCCAATGGTTAGATAAGTCAGTGTAATATAGGCTTTAGGCTAAAACTGCATCATTTTTGTGAATTCAATTTTCATACTTAGTTCACTATCTTATCAGAAAGCTGCTGCTGGACTTAGACGCATTAATCTTGAAGGCCTCCGATGGAGGGTTTTTGATGCAAAGAGCCAGGTGAGTCTGCAGTTTTTTTTCCTGTTCCTTACCTTGAAAGCTAACAAAGTGACTACATGTGACATGATGTTTTTGATGTCAAGTTAAAGCAATTTTCCTAGTGTCTATGATTAAAAAGTAAGCTCCTGTTAAACTCAAAACACATGTCATGGTTTCATTTTGGGTATGTTTGGACTGATGGATTTGAAATGGATGGAATGGAATAGAATCACATCAATTGCCATTATTTGGAATTTGGATTGTTTAAAATAGGAGATGCTTCTATTTTGTACTCCCTGGTGTGGGACAGAATTGGCTGGAACTAATTTATTATCCTTTCTCCTTATCATTCTGTTCACTTCTCTAACAATGGGTGAACTTTTTTTTGTTTTCCTATTTCATCATAAGTTATTCAATTGTAAGGTAATTTTATTGTTTCTGTTAGTCAAATAGCCTCGTATAACTTAAGAGGGGGGTGAATTAAGTTTTTCAAATTTTCCTTTTATAAAACTTTTCTGAATTATTTTCTTACAAATTCAATTCCTTAGATAAATTTATATATAAAGAATGAATGATGATGCAAACTACTCAATCACAATTAATAACAAGTAATTAAAAGTGTAGGGAAAGAAGAATTGCAAACT